GAAAGGGGGGGGGGGGTATTTCTCTCTGATGTACTCGGTACTGTTTTGAGTATCAATGACATCTATCTATGGCGATACTACATTACGCTGCCCATTTTACGAAGGCCTACTTTGTGTATAGAATTTAAAGTAAAGAGACTAACGTCGACAAGATAGCGATCATTTATTGTAGGAAAATAGCAAGATGAGTACACAGAAACAACGGAGAGACCGCGTCAGGTGTCAGAGTTCAGAGATGCACATCGATTCAATAACGGTCATTAAGTGGTGGGACAAAGTAAGACAGACAGAAACAACAGGGGGAAGGAAAAGAAGTAGGGTTTACAAGTGGCAGTAGGGCCCTCCAACCTCCTACACAACAAAGGGGGAAAAAAAGAAGCAAAGATACATAATGTGGTTTTCCCAAACCCACCCACCACATTTACCGATTAAAGGTTACGTACATAGTTCACACGATTGCACAATAAGTCCTTAACCCGGTCATTGCCAGGACATCTAGCAGTGCTTGTTTAGATAGGATGAATAAAATTATCATTCCAGAGAGGTTGAAACCAAGTCGTAGTAACTTTCCCATTATTTAAGAATACTGAACTGCACGAGTGTTTGTTACATCTCCAAAACTTCTCTCTATGGGTAAAGAGTAGAACAATATGATTCATTTTGGAGAACATAAACTTCAGCGAATGCATATATATACTACGCTTATACAGCAGTGAAGAGGTTCGGTCTGAGGGATGAGGAAGTGAAGATAGGGGAAGATAAATGGGAAGGGAGAGGGGGAGGGGAGAGTGTGAGAGGGGCTGGGGCTGAATTTCGACTTCAGAGATTGAAAAGGTAGACTGAAGTGACTAATTCCCAGATCGAACAGAAGCTCGATCTTTCTGTTCAGATATTGTATCCCTCTCAGCTCTGTCTTCATCTGCTCGGATGTTGTATCCCTCTCAGCTCGGACTGTCACTCTAAAAGGTCTCAATTGTGTCGATGGGAGCGTCTAAACACCCACATAAAAACAAGTTCAAAAAGAAGCAATAACAAAGTGGTAAGCAAAGACTATCGACGGGATCCTGTAAACATGCCCACTATCTCTTCCTATTCCACATGTTATTTTAGAAGCCACAATAGGTTTAAGGCAAAATTATATCATAATTTCTGAGCCCAAAATTAACTGATTTTGATACTGTTGAATCACGAGAACGAGTTAGGCGATTTTAAAAAGAGTCAATTCCTTACTTGTTTGCTTGGGGGAGGGGTGGTGGTAGTATGCACATGTTATGGTTGGTTATTTCTCTAAATGTTTTGTAAGCAACCTATCGAAAAAAAATGGTTTCCTATCTTTCACTCACACGAGGCGAAAAGACGTAAGTACAGTCTAGTATGTCCAGAAAGCCACCCACTACCGAAGAGGAAAGTGCTTGTCTTAGACAGGTGGACGTCTACGGCCGCGTCAAGATGATACATGTACAGATAAAAAAGCAAAAGTGGAGGTGGGCATTGGTTTTGTATTTGTAATTATCTAGGACTTTCTTGATGTTAAAAAGATAACATGCTCTCTCTATACAAATCAACAAAACTCTATTATGTCACGTCTCTTCACATTCCGTAGTACTCAAACTTATCTGTACCAGTTCTTCCTCTCAATTTCTTCATCGCAAACAAAACCTCTCGAACGATAGATAACATCGATAATGGCCAGCCATCCTTGATTATCCTCACGCAGAAGAAAGCCCGGTCTGTCTACTCACCGATGTGACCAGAAACGTGAACAGTGAAAGCACAGACGTCGGAGATGAGATAGACACACCCAACACTCAGGATCACTCTCCACAGCTCCCGAAATCCTTTCAGAAATCGCCTTCAGAGCACTAAGCACAGCCCGCAACAGGCATCACAAAAATATGCAGGGGAAAAAAAGAGAAACAAACCGGCACCGCGGGCAGGCAGACACTGAAGCATCACTCATGCTCTCTCGCAATGGCGTTGTCGGCTAAAAAAAACCCGGAGCAGGCAAAGAAAAAAAGCATACATAGCTATCAAAGGCAACTAGAATGGAAGAGTACTCACAAGGGTGAATAAATAACTAGGGGTATAGGTACAACAGGACAATGGGACTGTCACGTGGTCTCTCCTCCAAGCATACGATGTGCTTCGACCTGCCCCGACACTCGCACTGAAGAGCGGGAAAATTCTTGTACACCCGGCGCGTTCCTGGCCAACTGACCCACGCGATCCTCTTCTTCTTCTCCTCCTCCTCCACTTCTTCTTCAACGGATGAGCGGCAAAGCGACGTTACAGCATCAGAACCACTTGCAGTAGCAGCGACATCAGCAGCATCGGCAGCAACATCAATACTGGTGCTACAGTCCCCCGATCCCACACTCGCGTGGTGAACGGGGAGGGTGAGGAGGGTGAGGAAAGGAGGTGGAGGGGAGGGGATGGGAAGAGGTGGGGAGG